GGTGACGGTGAACGGGTATGTAGGGGGGACTTGGTGAGGGGGGGAGCCTAGTGAACATAATGTCCTTCATGTAATTGTATATTAATGATACCAAAATAAAATTTTAAAAAATCAGTGTCCTTTGACCTGGCAAGCTCATTCGTGGGAGTTCATCCAACTGACATAAAAGCACTGGTGTGTAAGGACAGATGTACATGGGTTTTCAGCACTGTTTTTAGAGACAAAAAAAAGGAAGTGAGGTGAATGACAGGAGGAGAAGGTCAATAAATTATGACACACCAGTGCACAGACATCTAAACAGTAGATCAGACCTGCATTAGTTCACTGGTTCGCAGGAGTCTTCCAAGAAGCGTTACTGAGTGAGAGAAGCAAAACAGAGTGCCAGGCAAGGGGCCTGTACAGCAAGAAGGGGCCCTGAGAGGTCAGCATCATCGGCTTCCTGCTCACTTGGCACTCGTTTTACTCAGAACGTTTTCTGGCAATGATGCTCACAGTCCAAGGGTTTTATTGAGGCTGTGAATAGCTAAAAGGGATCATTATAGTTTCCGAAGCCTTAACCTACTTTCAAGGAAAGCCTGAACACATCGTCATAGATGTGCACTAAAACTGCAACTGAGCTCAACATTAGGCGGAGAGAAGTCAGCTAACATCCCACCTTAGCAAAGGCGTCCCTGCCGTAGCTAGCTTCTTGCTCCGTGTGCTGCTTGTCAATAATGTCACGGCCCGTAGCCACAGTCCGGTAGAGAAGGGCTTTCTCAACCACATCCGTCTTGGTGGAGAGCAATTCTGCTATGACGGACACAACTTTGCCGTTTTCAATAAGAGGCGTGTCACCATCCACCACAAATTTTAAGTTTCCCTAGACCAGAAGTGAAAAAGCAAGACACACCATTTCCAATGAGATTCTGAAACACTGTTCAGGGAACTATTTGCCAACTTAAGATATAATTCAGTGACTCTGTCTGTAGCACCCATTTTCCTAAATTCTTACATAGCTCATATAAGAATAAAAAACCTAGTGCTTCATTGTCTCTTTTTCTCTTCTCCAGACATTAACTTCTCTTAATCTTCAGTATATGTTTTTCATGGGTAGACATTTTACTTTCATGTAGTCAAATCTAGGAATCTTTCCTCTTTCTTTGGTGTCATACATAGATCATTCCTGTTCCAAAGATTTTATGAGTATTAAATATTTTCTTATATACTTGCACAGTTTTGTCTTACATATAAGCTTTTAACTCACCTGGAATTTATACTGCCATATGGTACAAAGTAAGAATCTAATTAATTTTTTTCAGATGGTTAACTGCTCCATTTATTGAATAGTCTAGTTTTTCCTGATTTGAAATGTTTAATTTATACATTAAATTCCTCCAAGTTTCTCAGTCTACTACATTCCACTCTTTCAATAAGCAATAAATACTTAATTATCTACTAAGTGTTCAGCACATCAATGAGTCTACTGATTAATCTGGTGCTGAATTTGTGCAACAAGTTTTAAAGTACCTTACCTTTTACTAACATTTTAAATCTGGCAGAATTAGTCATATTCCTCTATTCCCTTACCCTTACCCTTCTACTCCTCTTTAATACATTTTATTTGATCTTCTTACATGTTCATTGTTGCACGTAAATTCTAGAGTCACTATATCAATTTATAAACAAAATTCCTGTTTGGATTCTGAAGGATATTGTTGCACTGTATTTATAAACTAGTTGAAATGAGACAATTTATAATGTTAAAGTATTCCTAGACGTCAAGATATTTTGCCGTACAAGATTATTCACATAGGTCCTGCACATTTGAGTCATTTACAGTTAAATCTTGCCACATTGAAGTGAAGGTCATTTTTATTTGATTTTAATTTATGTTGTCATTTATTTTAAGGTTCCAGGTTCATTATATTTTCAACATCCCTAGTTGTATTAACAGTAATGAAAGAAATCTGACACATGATTCTTCATTTCTTCTGAGTCTGATGTGGTGTAGTGGAAAATAACTGGACTATAAGTCAAACAACTTGATCTACAGTGTCAGCTGCCATGAACTGGCTGTGCCTTTGAGGCAGTCATGCCACCCCTTACAAAGCTCATTTCCCAACCTGTTAAATGAGATGATAAAAATTCCAATTCTTGCTATCTATAATTCTATGTTTCAAATGCTATTAGAAATCTAATCTGTTCAAAAGATTTTCACTTATACTGTGTATAGTTACATTATTCCTCAATTCTTTTATCCTTGAAATTAACCAGTTCAAAGTCTGACATAATAGTAAGACAATTAACTAAAGCCACAATCTCAAAACCTATACTGGTTTGGAAAAATCTCTCACAATATTATAAAATGATAGCGAGAACCACAGGTACAATAATATTTTCAAAACATGAGAGAAACTTTCTCTACATAAATTAGTTTTTCCTATGTAAAAATAATTATTTGTACTAATGTTTTAGAACGTAGGAAGAAAAAAAAAGAAATTAATTTTTAAATTTACAGGGGGAAAAAATTTTTCTGAAAGAGCATCCTGTCTCCACAGGGAGGCAATATATTCCAAAAGATGTCCCTACTCACCAAGTGAAGAATAGCAGCCAAAATTTTATACACTGTTTGAATCTCCTCGGGTTTGAAGCCAATTACTTTCATGGCATCAGCTACTACTTTGAATTCGGCAGCATCATTGATAGATGACTAGGAATGAAAACAGAAAAGTTAACTCACAGATATTTCAAATGAGCATTAAAACCCAGCGACTGTGAGATTAAATTCAGGGTTAGCCATCTGATTTGATGCCTCTGTTATTGAGTATCTAGAGAGAATAAAAATGATTTCAGGGGTAGAAACACCACTCGGCACACACAGTGTCCACCTGTGTGTGTGAGTGCTGCTGACATCCAAAAAAAGCACCACATACTTTTCTGGAACCTTCAGTGAGAGAGCAAGTCCTGAGCTGGCTCAGAGAAGGTGATAGCTGCTCCATGATTAGTGGAGGAAATGGCCTGGGATGTGAGATTGCACATGGAACACTGACTGTGGGGCCTCTAAGACCCATGACCGGCTCTTACTGCCGGTGGCTTTCTGCCCTACAAAGAGCCTGGTGCAGGCTGGGAATAACACTCCCTCTCTTACACGGTCAGGCTTTGCATTTCACAGGCAAGAAAAAGCAGGACCCCAGAAGCAAAGCAGCCTGCCTCAATCACTCAGCAGGGCCTGTAACTTCACTGCCTCACAGACCTTCAGCATATCAGACCTTCAGACTGGGTCATGAAGGTTGTCACAGATTCAATATTTGTGTCCCCCCAAAATTCATATATTGAAATCCTAACCCCAAGGGTGATGGTATTAGGAGGGGGGGCCTTTGGGAGGTGATCAGGTTGTGAGGGTGGAGCCCTCATGAGTGGGATTAGTGTCCTTATGAAATGAGACTCCAGAGATTCCTCATCCCTTCTCCCCTGTGAGGACACAGCGAGAAGACACCACCTATAAACCAGGAAGTGGGCCCTCACCAGACACCAGATCTGCTGGTACCTGGACCTTGGACTTCCCAGCCTTCAGAACTGAGAAACATTTGCTATGTACAAGCCACCCAGTTTGTGGTGTTTTTGTCATAGCAGCCCAAATGGACTGAGCCAGGGGCTCAAAGATGAATTCTCTGCCTTGAGGAGCAGCAGCTATCAGGTTGGAAATGACAAACATGCCAACAGAAATTCACAGTGAAGCAATGGGAACTGCCTATCTTAGATGATCTCTCCCAAGTGGCAGCTCTGGAGGACCTGACAGATCCTCTCCTCGGGAGTTTCTCCTCCTGCCGGGACCAGAGGCCTGGTCTGGAGTTCACCTGCTGAGGAGGGGCGCAGGGAGGGGTCCTCTCTGTCTGGTGAGTACGTGTTCCCCTAACACAGCCAGGCAAGCTCCTCTGCCTACCGGTGACCTTTGGCAAGATGCTTAGCTTCAGCAAGTCTCGATTTCTTCATGGGCAAAATGGGCATAATAATCTCCTTGCTACAGGGTTGTGGTGAGAACTGAGTGAGAATTTATATAAAGCACCCCTTTGCCCCTAGCACATAAAATACACTCAATGAATTTCTGGTGTCACTATTATTATAAGTGACCGTGTTGAAACTGCAAAGAAACAAGACAAAGAAATTGAAAACTCTTACTGTGGGTAATTGTTAGCTTCTTGCCTAACAGCAATTCCCCACTCCCCTTTCTTTCTTGCTGCCAGGACCCTGATCTGTTCACTCCCGTTTGAGTTCGCAGGTCCTTCAGGTGCAGTCTCCCCCCAGCCTCAGGATGGTGATGATTGGGGCTGTTAATTTTAAGGAGTGTGGTAGTTATTTGTTGGGTAGATGCTGGGAGGACATTATTAGGAATTAAGAACCTGGTGAAGACGCTTCCTAACATGAGAAATTTAACTGAGCGGATTAGGGGTGGGTCACTTTCATTAACAGAAGTTAGGCTGGAGAAGGGAGGCTGTCCTAGAAGTGCGACGCAGATTTCTCTGCTGTAACAGCGCTCATTAGTCTAACAGCCACAGCGATCTTACTCCCCTTACCAAGACTGGTCAGCCATGGGCATGTGAGGCTGTTCTGGCCAATAAGACATGAGGTGTCCAGGGACATCAGCCAGGAACATCTGGAACTGCTACTGTCATTTTGGGAGAGTGCTGCTGACATCCAAAAAAAGCACCACATACTTTTCTGGAACCTTCAGTGAGAGAGCAAGTCCTGAGCTGGCTCAGAGAAGGTGATAGCTGCTCCATGATTAGTGGAGGAAATGGCCTGGGATGTGAGATTGCACATGGAACACTGACTGTGGGGCCTCTAAGACCCATGACCGGCTCTTACTGCCGGTGGCTTTCTGCCCTACAAAGAGCCTGGTGCAGGCTGGGAATAACACTCCCTCTCTTACACGGTCAGGCTTTGCATTTCACAGGCAAGAAAAAGCAGGACCCCAGAAGCAAAGCAGCCTGCCTCAATCACTCAGCAGGGCCTGTAACTTCACTGCCTCACAGACCTTCAGCATATCAGACCTTCAGACTGGGTCATGAAGGTTGTCACAGATTCAATATTTGTGTCCCCCCAAAATTCATATATTGAAATCCTAACCCCAAGGGTGATGGTATTAGGAGGGGGGGCCTTTGGGAGGTGATCAGGTTGTGAGGGTGGAGCCCTCATGAGTGGGATTAGTGTCCTTATGAAATGAGACTCCAGAGATTCCTCATCCCTTCTCCCCTGTGAGGACACAGCGAGAAGACACCACCTATAAACCAGGAAGTGGGCCCTCACCAGACACCAGATCTGCTGGTACCTGGACCTTGGACTTCCCAGCCTTCAGAACTGAGAAACATTTGCTATGTACAAGCCACCCAGTTTGTGGTGTTTTTGTCATAGCAGCCCAAATGGACTGAGCCAGGGGCTCAAAGATGAATTCTCTGCCTTGAGGAGCAGCAGCTATCAGGTTGGAAATGACAAACATGCCAACAGAAATTCACAGTGAAGCAATGGGAACTGCCTATCTTAGATGATCTCTCCCAAGTGGCAGCTCTGGAGGACCTGACAGATCCTCTCCTCGGGAGTTTCTCCTCCTGCCGGGACCAGAGGCCTGGTCTGGAGTTCACCTGCTGAGGAGGGGCGCAGGGAGGGGTCCTCTCTGTCTGGTGAGTACGTGTTCCCCTAACACAGCCAGGCAAGCTCCTCTGCCTACCGGTGACCTTTGGCAAGATGCTTAGCTTCAGCAAGTCTCGATTTCTTCATGGGCAAAATGGGCATAATAATCTCCTTGCTACAGGGTTGTGGTGAGAACTGAGTGAGAATTTATATAAAGCACCCCTTTGCCCCTAGCACATAAAATACACTCAATGAATTTCTGGTGTCACTATTATTATAAGTGACCGTGTTGAAACTGCAAAGAAACAAGACAAAGAAATTGAAAACTCTTACTGTGGGTAATTGTTAGCTTCTTGCCTAACAGCAATTCCCCACTCCCCTTTCTTTCTTGCTGCCAGGACCCTGATCTGTTCACTCCCGTTTGAGTTCGCAGGTCCTTCAGGTGCAGTCTCCCCCCAGCCTCAGGATGGTGATGATTGGGGCTGTTAATTTTAAGGAGTGTGGTAGTTATTTGTTGGGTAGATGCTGGGAGGACATTATTAGGAATTAAGAACCTGGTGAAGACGCTTCCTAACATGAGAAATTTAACTGAGTGGATTAGGGGTGGGTCACTTTCATTAACAGAAGTTAGGCTGGAGAAGGGAGGCTGTCCTAGAAGTGCGACGCAGATTTCTCTGCTGTAACAGCGCTCATTAGTCTAACAGCCACAGCGATCTTACTCCCCTTACCAAGACTGGTCAGCCATGGGCATGTGAGGCTGTTCTGGCCAATAAGACATGAGGTGTCCAGGGACATCAGCCAGGAACATCTGGAACTGCTACTGTCATTTTGGGCTCAAGAAAACTGGCCTAAACACACAGGCCAAACCCAGTAAGGATGGCCAAGCTGTAAGCTGGAGAAACAAACATCTGGGTCCCTGTCAACACTGTTCAGGCGCTGGATTGACCAGCTCTGGAACTGCCCCATCTCAGGGCTTTTCGGGAGATGATCACCTTATCTTTTATATATCTAAATTTATTATATAATTAAGATTTTAATTATAAAATCTTATATATAAAATATCTTTTACTTATTTATCTTAGAAATTATTATTAATTATCTTCTATGTGAGATAATTAAGTTCCTTATTGTTTTTGGAGACTCTTAATTGGTCTTCTCTTACCTGCCACCCAAACTATCTTAATTGTACATGACTCCTATACTTTAGGACTATTAGATAAAATTATGATACAGAGTATAATATAGTTATTAAAATCATTCCATTAATTCATCTGTATTAATTATTTGCTAATGGAAAGATATTAATGATTACATTGTAATACAATATAAGGTATACTTAACCAGGACTTCCTGTATGATTCCCTTTTTAATATATATACATAAGCCATTATAAATAATTATACCTGTATGGTGAGCTTTAGTGTATTTTTGTTTCCTTTTGGTTTTATCTTTATCTAGGTTTTCACTATAATCATTTCACTTCTTTGTTTTTTTAGAGAGGAATAAAAAACAGTAAGGGAGAATAGGAATGGTAACTTTCATGAAAAGGGAATCTGAGCTCAATTAAGCTGAGAGAAAAGGCTAAATGTTAATTTAATCCTTGGTTTCTGTGAGGGCTCTACAAGATGAGGCTACAAGTAATTTGGCCAATAAGATAATTTGAATTAAGTGGAGTATTTCCAGTTACTGGCTTTTTAAGTGCTGGTTTTACAATCCCTCATGCCCCTCTAAGTGGACCTATTCTCAGAGAACTGGAGTGTTGCCCTCCATCGTTTTGTTCATTTTCAATTAATTTTCAGCCAAATATCTTGCTCTCAGATGATTATGAAAATAAAAAGTTCATGCAATTTAAATGTTAAACAATGGAAAATTAATTGCAAAACCCTAAATATCATTGATTTCTAGGCAGCAATAAAAATAATGCTAAACCAGTAATGCAGGTATAATGAACTCCAGATGAATAACAAAAAGAAAAAAAGAAAAACCTCCCACATCTTAGATATTTTCCTTTTATAAATTCTGTACTTTTTCCCCAACAACAAAAGCAATTCACTTTTTATTATAGAAGAAATTTAAAATCCAGAAGGGCAGAAGAACATAAATATCCATAATCTGATTCATTCAGAATAAACAATTAAAACCTTCATCTATTTCCATCCATATTTAATTTTTTTGGTATAATTGATCTACAATTACATGAGGAACATTATATTACGTTTACTAGACTCCACCCATCACCAAGTTCCCTCCACATACCCCATTACAGTCACTATCCATCAGCGTAGTAAGATGCTACAGAATCACTACTTGTCTTCTCTGTGTTGCACAGCCCTCCCCGTGACCCCCCAACATTATATATGCTAATCATAAAGCCTCCTTTCTTCCCCCTTCCACCCTTTATCCCTCCCTTCCCACCCATCCTCCCCAGTCCCTTTCCCTTTGGTAACTGTTAGTCCATTCTTTTATTTTATTTATTTATTTTTTATTTTGGTATCATTAATCTACAATTACATGAAGAACATTGTTTACTAGGCTCTCCCCTTCACCAAGTTCCCCCCACATACCCCTTCACAGTCACTGTCCATCAGCGTAGTAAGATGCTGTAAAATCACTACTTGTCTTCTCTGTGTTGCACAGCCCTCCCCATGCCCCCCATGCACTATACATGCTAATCATAATGCCCCCTTTCTTTTTCCCTGCCCTTGTCCCTCCCTTCCCACCCATCCTCCCCAGTCCCTTTCCCTTTGGTAAGTATTAGTCCATTCTTGGGTTCTGTGATTCTGCTGCTGTTGTGTTTCTTCAGTTTCCTCTTTGTTCTTATACTCCACATATGAGTGAAATCATTTGGTACTTGTCTTTCTCCGCCTGGCTTATTTCACTGAGCATAATACCCTCTAGCTCCATCCATGTTGTTGTAAATGGTAGGATCTGTTTTTTCCTTATGGCTGAGTAATATTCCATTGTGTATATGTACCATATCTTCTTTATCCATTCATCTACTGATGGACATTTAGGTTGCTTCCATA